GCGTTAAGTGGAGATAAAATGGTAGGTGGTAGGAGAAAAGTGCTGTAGGTGGTAGGAGAAAAGTGCTGTATGTGGGAATTTTAATAAAGAAGCATTGTTTTCAGAAACTACTTTTGCAATATGGCAATAACTTACCATCCCTTCTGAATTTCTTCAGTTTCCCTCATGTTTATGCTTAGAAAGCACCTTCCTTATCTGCACCCGCAATACCACTTCCATTTGAGGGCTGACAGGCTGAGACGGAGCCTTCTGCAGGTCAAATCCATGCAGGCTTTTGTGTTGCAGAGTCCTTTGAAGTGTTGTGTTACTTATATTTTACTCAGACTTGGATATGGGATATGTATCTAGCAGCTATCTCAAAAAATCTGGTGTAGATTTAGCAGAACATGCTTTTCTGCTAGGCAAACAGAAGATACTTGTTTGCTTTTGATCCCCATCATATGTAGGTTTGTACTTGACTTTGGGATACTTTTCTGTGATGTTCTCTTTGGCTTCACTTGCAACTTCTACTTTTAGCAGCTTCCAGAGAAATAATTATCAGCCTGCTAGGATCTAAGTGACATCACTCAAATATTTTCTGATATATTTGAGACCTTGATGTTACTCTGCATGGTTTTTTCCTTTTTTGAGAGAGCCTGTCATGAAGTGCAGAAAGGGATGCATAACTGAGCAAAGGAGAAAAAATTCCCAAACTTTTCTATTTTATACGTATGTATACAGGCAGAGAACTTGTCTGATTCAAAACTGTTGCCATCACTATGAAGTGGCTTGAGCTAGAGAAGCGCAGCCTAGCCTCTAGACAGAATTTGGGGATAGTCAAAAAAGATCACCCCTGCAAGCGAAAAATAGAAGGGAATAAAAAGGAAATTTTACATACCTCTGAATCCATCAGTGGGTGGCAATTATTTGTTTAAAGAAACAAATTACAGTTTTGAATTTCTTGCAATAAGTAGTTTTTTGAACTATGAAAATGGTGTTTCAGTAAAATGCTTGTGGCTTTGCTGAAGGGCAGGTTAAATACATGGTACAATTAATTTTTTTAAACAAGTTTAAAACTGTTTATCACAAGTTTCAAGAAATTTTCAGAGTTAAAATAATTTCTGTGTGATGCAACTGTTGGTGGCTTTCTTAATTCTGGTACTTCAAAAGAGATGATACTCTTGTGGGTACAAAGCATCTCTCACGGATTAAAAATAAAAGAGATAACAGTTCTGTAACTTCATTACTAGTAACCAGTGTGATCCAGTTTCATTGTATCTGGTATACATTCAAAGCAAAGCTTCTGAGATGGGTCCTCAGACTGCTTCCATTCCTCTCAAACATTTAACACACAACCTGCATCTTTTCTACTTCTGTTCAAAGATCATCTATTCTTTTCATGGTGTAGAGATTAACTGGTGTGTACTTTGCAATCCAAATTCTGCAGATTTTTGTTAAGGGAACAAACTGACTAAATCCATTAAATGATGACATTTCATATTCCACTTCCAGGATCCCTTTACAGGTCTTTTCCTCTCATCTCACCTCTGTTGTGCTGCTTGCCACCCCATACCCCCTTACTAAAGGGAGAAGTGCCGTGGTACAAGACAAGGGGAGAATAAAAGTCAAACACTACAAGTCAGTTTTTGCATTTTTTTTGCTCATTGACACCAAACCTTTCAGTAACTTGACCCAAACTAACAAGAAGGATATGGTATGTTGTAAAGTGGAGTTTGGAGCATGGCTGAAGGCTAGCAGGGATTCATTTTCGCTGAGCTCTCTAAGGTCAGGCACATGACTTGTACTAGAAACAAGAATCAAAAGGCACAAGTGATACACAGAGAACTGAGAGTAAGTGTACAAGTAATTTCTTAAGTAAGACTTGAATGTGCTGCTTCTCAGTTTCTTTCAAATTAAATATACTAAATTTACAAAAGAAACAATCTGCAAATTAATTCTTATTGTTTATGGAACAATGTTATTGTATGTATTCTTATGGGTACAGTGCCTCAGAAAATACAACTTCACAATAAAATCCTGGCAAAGCTCATGTTTATGGTGTCCTCTGTAATAGCTTTGTAACTTTTCCAGGCATGCTCCCCTACTCCTGTCTCCTTTGTTACATTCCTTGAAAAGAGGTGGATTTTTACAGCATTCCACATGTCCCTTTGGTCATGCTAACTCATCAGTTTGGTTCTGGCTGAGGCTCTGTCTTCAGAAATGGCACATCCTAGTAGAAGCAGCTATGTAGTAGAGCAGAGCAGTCGGTGTTGAGGAAACTTGATGTGCATTAGATGTGTTTTGTGGTCAGCTTCAGGCCGGCTCACCTGGTCCGTTGGCCTCAATGCCCATTACCAATGGGACTGCATCAGCTAATCTTCCAGTTCAGCTTTACCCAAAAGAGGTCTAATTTGTACACACCAAGATTACTCTGAAGTTAAGATTAAAGCACGGTAAATGAAGACTGACAAATTTACTTCAAAAGCATGCTTATAATCCAAGCTAAAACACTAATGTAAATGCAAACTGTGTGCTCCTGCAGCAAAAAAAAACCCCAATGTTTGATTTGCTTTCAGAGTGAACTACTTTGTGGTCTTAATATAACAGAGCATTTAAATACTGTTCCATTGCTTCAAGGAGATCACATGCCATGGTGTAACTGGCTGATGGCCTCTGATAAGAAACTCGCTTGAGATGAGAAGCAAGGTTTGATGGTGATTCAGTTTAACTAGTGGTTACTGGTTGACTAGCTGATGATTAGTGGAGAATCATTTACAATCATTCACAAGATCCTGAACTCTAATACTGTTACTAGCATGCCAGGGATCTTAGCAACAAGTAAAGGAGGAAAATAAGTTGAGGTGCCCAAAGAAAGAGTTTGGTTCATTGCAAAACAAAAAATTCCAAAAGCTTTGAGATTGTCTACATTTTCTCTGCATCAAAGCCCTGCATTTCAAAACTATACTAAAAGCAAGAAGTCATGGATATATTGTTTAGACATAGAAATGAATCTGACTCTGGCTGTTACATTTTTTAAAGGAGGGGCAACTACTGCAGACCTGAACAATTTTAAGTGTTTTAATTGGAGTGGTGTATTTCGTAGAGCTCTCTAGAACTTCTTTCTGTGTTGTAGTCACAGCATATTACAGTACTATATTGTGTAAATACAGCAACATGCATTTAAAATAATCATTGCACCTGGTGGAGATGCTTCTCCTCCTGAGCATGTCAGAGGAGCAGTTCTTACCCAGTGGAAGCATAAACATGGTGTAGGGTCTCTCCCCTCAAGTTAGTCACATATGCTTTACTAGCTGATACCATGCATAACTTAAGAAGTCATTTGCTGTGTGTATAAGTGAGCTTGACTTCCAAATTGAAAGGTGGGATGTGGTAAGAGATTCTGTTGTGGCTGTTTATGGCTCTGTGAACTGTACTGATGTTTTCTTTAATTAAGATATCTCAGTTAATTTCTATAAATATTTTCTTTGTGAAAGCCCTCAAACTACATGAAGATATTTTTATAGATATGATTATTTTAGTTGGTTGATCTTGTCAAATTTGCTGGGAGAATTCACAAAAGCTTTGGCACAGATTGGGTCATTTTGTTTTGTTATTTCTATAGGAGTGCTTTATGTGTTTCTCCTCACCCCATCTATTAACACGATGCAGTAAGGTACTGAAACCTGCAGAAATCTGCATGTAGTAATACGGAAAAGGTACAAGAAAGGATTAAATGTGTTTTGTACTTGCTGGCTAAACCCCATGGTGTATTCTCATAGTTGTGGGCTCTGATTCATAAAGATCTAATCTGTAGCTGTGTTTCAATAGCAGCTAGCCCACTCATGAGACATGTACCTTCGTGCTCCAAGTCTGGGTGGTCTTATGATCTCACTGCAGATTAGAAACGAAGATCTCTTAAAAAAAATTAGACTAAATGGACTCTAAGATGATGGGAAGCTTTTAATTGAGCTCAAGTAGTTTCTTAGCTATTACAGTGTATTTTTGGTGACACGCCTTAAATTGAGATATTCATACTGTGCTTCATGGCTACTATTGGGTTTGGTTTCTTTTTTTTCAGATACAGGATATGGGCATACAGTGACTGCGTACTGCATGGTTTGCTCTGTGTAAGCTCCCTGGTTCTGGTCTAAGAAATGAGGGATAGGGTTTTCCTGTTTTATTCCCTTAGACGCAAGGCTTAGCTGGAGGTGGGCAACCGAAGCAGCTTCAATTTGAGGAAGATTTTACTGCCTCCAATTTTTCATTTGTGTGTTGTTACATTAATAAAAAATGAAGTTGTGACTCTGAGAAAGGAGAGGCAGAGGTTAAGCAATTCTTGCTTTCTGTCTCACAGCATAGGAATAGGAGTCCCTAATCTGGCATCCTGCCTTATTTCACACTGCACCCCTTCAGCGCTCACTCTATAACCACTCAGACTAGAAGTTATCTTAGCATACAGGGCTTGGTAAAGATATGTCTGTGACTAACAATGCTTTGAGTTTGGATCAGGGTTCTGAACATCGCTATGAAGTGTATTACAAATAGTGACATAAGTTCCCAGGGCATGCAAATCAGAAATTCTGTAAGTCAGTAGTTTCATAGACTATACTAATACTCTCTGATCCTTAATTCTTGTTTTGAATTACTAAACCTCAAATTTGATCTGTCACATCATGATTTAAATACAAATATAGGCAAAGTTACTGTCTGAAATGCTGCAAATACTGCTTTATAAACGGTGGAATGTAGTAAGGTTACTTACAAATGTTTTGTTGGCCTAAATGTTAGGAGTGGTATCCGTGCTGGTCTAATGATCTGCTATAGATCCTCCAAATAAGAACAAAGGACAGTATTACCAATGTCTTGCTTAACCGGGGAATTTGGACTCTGTTTTTTCACTCTGAAAATACCCTACAGTGTGTGAAATATCCTGTGGACAGTTAACTTTTACATTTATGACACACATTGTTTTTGCCTTTTCAATGACTCTCAGTTAGATGGTTTCATTATCTTCCTTTCAGAAAAGACGACGGCGAATTGACCGAAGCATGATTGGGGAGCCAACAAACTTTGTTCACACAGCTCATGTAGGATCAGGGGACCTATTCAGTGGAATGAATTCGGTAAGCATGAGCGAATGAAGAATATTTCCTCATAGAATTCAGGAATACTGTATGTGTATATTGTGGCTGAAGCCATGAGTCTTCAGAATCTCTAGAAAACGGAAGAATTTTAATTCCAAGTCCTAAACACCTGCATTCAAGATTATGGAATATCATTTTTTGAATTCCTATATTTATTGACAATACATAGTAGATGCTGTATAAGTTGTGCAGGCTATGTAGAATACTTTTTAAAAAATTGTTCTGACGGCATGTATGAACTAAAATAGAGATGTATTTGAAAATATACTAGACTATTGGTTTATGGTGCACACAAATATTTATGGGTGTCCTTGTTGACGTTTTCCTATGCTCTGTAGCCCTATTTGCAGTGTGAATTATTTCCAGAGCAAGCAATGATGTCACAGGCAAGGTTTTGTGGCTTCCTGTAGCTGATGGGAGCAATAAATATTTTTATCTCTCTGAAACCGAAAAACAGAGGCTAAGATAGACACTGAAAATCAGCTTATAAGGATAAATTTCTTTTGTACAGCTTCCTATTTATGTGAAATGTCAATCTGTTTTTAGGGTTAATACACAATGTAGAAAAGGGTTTTATGTACATAATGATAAAAAGTACTTCTTGACCATAATAGTCCTCTTTAAAGGAAAAAAAAAATGTTTTGAGATGAAAATGATGAAAAATACTTCTCAGCAAAGGAGAAGGAAGAGTTCTGTCAGGAGTATCAGAATAGACAGCTAAGCTGTAAAGGAAACAGGCAGTTTTAATGTAGGAAAGTGAGGTCACTTGTAGTTTCAACTAGTTTACAGCTTATTGAGATCAGACAAAAACTTTTGTAACTCAGTACTTATTGGGGAAGTGCAAAGCTAGAAAATCTGACATGACAAAGAATATACTACATTTTCCCAGAAACAACATAATGGATTGGAAATGATTTGTACTAAAACATTACTAAGCAAGTTAAATGAACAAACACAGCTTCAACTTGATAAAATTAAGTTAAAGCTAATTACTTTTTTAATGTGCTACATTACTTTAATACAAATCGAGATAATAATGTGAGCAGTTTTCTTTCTTTTTTCTTTTTTTTTAAGCATGGATTTTTGCTTTGTTGTCCCTCCTGTGAGACCCTTCCACATTTTCACAGCTGAGCTGCCTCATGTGAGGTTTGCAGTGATTGCCTGAAGCTTGCTCTTTCACCTCAGACTTTCCCCCTGCTTGCCCTCACCTTTGCCTTGCATAATATCCAATTTGTCTTCAGATAGTAGGTAATCGTTATTTCTCTTTGCATAGACATTTTCATTTGGAATGCTCATAACTGGCTATGTCTTTCTCTCACTTCTCTTCATTTGGATAATGTTCTGCATCAGTGATTTTTCTGAATCCAGATAGAAAGGATCTGTATGCAAAAAATAACCCCTTTTTCCCCTCTCTCTTTTCAGAAGCACAACCTCTACTTTTTCACACTGCTTATTTTCCTGCCCCTTCTGTGTTGACTTACTGTGGTAATACTGCAGCCAGTCTCTTTGTTCATTCTTTGCAGTGTAAATTCCAACCTAACCAATGGTGTTAACCTTCACATGCTTTGCTACTGCTTAATTTCCTTTATAGTATGGGCATTATACTCCTTCGTGAACCTCCTCTTGCCTTCTCTCATCTGAATACCTTAGGAGGGCCTCTTGCAATTTCATTAGCTTTTCCCATTTAAATTTGGTTCTTCATCCACTATCTGCTCTGTACTGTTTTCCTCAGCATTGTCCTTCATTACATATCCTGATTATTCTGAGTACAGATTCTGACTACTGAAATATTTTGCTTTTTTTATTTGCCTTGTCTGTAGAGCACATTGCTCCTTTGTGAAAGGTACACTTAAACAGTAGGAGCCCTCTGTGCATGGTTTATTTGTCATTCCCATCACTTTCTTTCTTATTTTACCTTCATATTCCCTGGTGAAATCTCTCGCTTTCTTCTTCTGCTTCATATTCCTCAGTTTCATCTTTGATTTCATGTATTCCATCCTTTTCTTAGTTTTCCCTTGTTTTCTTTCGCAAGGACCATTTGTGCTATTTCCTAATTCTAAAAGGGAGGAAAAGAGAAGGAGAGAAGGAAATTAGTGAGATAGATAAGAAGCACAAGAGATTGTATGATCCTTAATTCGTGCAATCCTCTTCCCCTTCCAAAATCTTATCCTCTCTAAATTAGACATAAGAGAGAAGAACCTTGTTATGTATCAGCAAAGGAAGGCAATGGCGTATTTGGAAAAGAAAAAAAAAATTACATTTCATGGTGCTTGTTCTTCTAACTCAGACTGCCTCAAGAGGACAGTGCTTCAGAAAGAATAGCACTTTATAAGCCTACAATTTTTAGACTTGCCTTTTGCTCGGTGTTTTTAATGTTGTGTGTCTCCTATGTGTTTTCATATACAAAATAGCCACTGAACTGTTAATGCAGTCAAGTTTAATTTGCTGCACTCTCTTTTCTTTAGGTGTAACAGCCTCTGCATCTTAGACTGATACTTCCTTACCCACTATCTATATGTGACTTAAGTACCAGAGAAACTATTCTAACCGTCAGAAAAAGTACTCATAAAACTTTACACTTTAGCCTTGCAATTTGTGTTGATTTGCTGTTCTCCAAAATTTTAAAGCCATGCAGACAAGTTGTCAGGCTGGAAGGTGACATGGCCTGGAGATGTTTTTCTAGCTCTTGTTCCCTAGAGGCGGGGTTCTTTCAGATGAAATTAATGCCATCCTCAAGGCACTCTTGTGAATACATTTACATGTAGATTAATTATTTTCTGAGGAAAAAAATGAGAAATTCAAACTCCTTTTGTTCCAATGAGCAACAGAAGATACTTGGTGAAGAAGGTGACCAGCTTGGTGAAATGTGAATGTTCTTAAACACCACCCCATGGGTGTGGTTGTACTTCTCCACACTTACTGAGTTTGTAGTCTGTGAACCACTAGACAGTACTGGCTCTGAATGTTTTTGTATGAAGGAAATGTGAACATAACATTGCTTTGCTGCAGCTGTATCACTTATTTGAGCAAAGCACCAGGGTAGAAAATGGGTTTACATTAAATAAAAATCAGATCTTTTGCGCTGCGCTGCAATATTCCATACCATTGAAGACAAAGATCCTAAAACAGGTTCTGTTTTTAACATTGGTTTAAGAAACGGTGTGTAAGAAAGAGTTGTCCTGATTCATTTTGTGTGTGTGCCTGTGTTTTGCTTTGCTGAGGAAAAGAATATACTTACTTTGTCTTTGTAGACATCAAAAATATCATTCAAGCAACTTGGAAGTATTTCTCCAGTGCTGTTTTAATACAGCTTTCTAGTGATGTTTTGAGGTCTCTGTGAATGAGCATACATGTAGTAATTGCAAGTAATGGCTTACAGGCATAGGCTTTGCTGCAAGCTCAATTTCAGAAGCTATAGCCTTGAATGAGTATGTTATTTTGTGCTCATTGTGTACTTGTTATGCATGCTGTGGGGTGCAGAGAGAAAAAGGCCAAACCTTCAAGGTTGGAGTTGTCTTCCTGCCAGCACTTGGAGATGATTATTTTGACTCAGGCAACACAAGCAGGAAAGAAGTGTGGATTCCCTTGCTTTTTGTTGATAAAGGCAATGAAAGCCCTAGAGGGATGTGCATGTCTTTGTGTGTGTGATGGGGTTTCTTTATGTATTTATTTGTATCAGGCTAAAAATACCTTCAAATAAGCTATTTCCAGGGAAGCTGATAGATTGAGTATGGTTTAAACAATAAGTGCCCTGCCATTTAAAGGAATAATAGCAATTAAGGAAAGCAGTGTATAGTGTTATGTAAATAGAGAAATAAAATACCTTCCACAAACCAAAAGCTCCTTCTTGGGTTAGAAAGTAATTTTTTAATTATCTGAAGTTAGCAATACAGTGCAGATACTATACAGATATTTTGTAAGTTGTCTATTATATTTTTAACATAATTGTGTCAGCTTCTTTGGTTTATCATACTTGGAAAAGAATATTTTCCATATAGCAACATAAATTATAGCTTCTCAGATGGAGTGGAGTTGGATACCAGTAAGAGATTTGATTAATTTTTTTTGAGTAAACAAGTGGGTCAGTGAAAGCCTGAATCAACCAGTTTTCTTTGGGAAAGAGAAAATACTTCTGCTTCAGCACCAGTTCTTCCATCTCTCCTGCTGAGCTGCCTGCAGAAGTGAAAATTCTAGCAAGCCTACGCTGCACGTGTCCTCATGCAAAACTAATGTAGCTGTAACGGTAAAGGAGCACTTGAAAACCAAACAAGAAATAAAATTGGAAGCAAGACAATGTCATAGCTCACTAACTTCATTTCTTGTTTTCTCTGCCTCCCTTTCCCATCTGTCTCCAGGTGAGCTCCATTCAAAACCAAATGCAATCCAAGGGAGGCTATGGAGGTGGCATGTCTGCAAATGTTCAGATGCAGCTTGTGGATACAAAGGCAGGATAACCTTGGAGAAACCTGTCCAGTAAGTATTGCACTCTGCTTTTTAGGCACTGTTAGAATAGCAGGAAGAACCATCATACTACTTTGGAATTAGGTCCCTATAAATAGCCCTGTCTTTATGATGCCCAATTTAAAAATGCATTTCTAAGTAAAAAATTCAATATAATGTAAGCATGTTGGTTTTTTACACAATGAACAAGAGATTGTCCTGCCTGCATCAGTCTGTCTGTAAGCCTGTTTTATACCTAAGATTATATTGTAGGCAGATCTTCACAAAGGAAGTTAGTTGTATAACAAATTTCAGAAGAATTCTGTACCATTTTTGCAACAGTTCCATCCATTTAAGCATAATGCATATGGTGTTAAATCAATGAATAGCAATGTTACAGAAGGAAAATGGTCACTCAGAATGTACAAAACACAGTATAATGTGTGTTTTCTGCCTTCCAGGTTTATGTGAGTTCCAGTATCTTCTTTCCTGTGTCCCCTCTTTTGCCTTGGTGACTGCTTTCTGTGCTCATGATGAGAGAAGTGATGGCTCATTGTTCACCCTTTGTGACTACTCCAGTGAAAAGTTGCTGTTCAGCTCTGATGATGCCATTTATCAGATTGGTCCGACCGTGCCTTTCAGTGGCATGCACACGTTGGCCTCTACCAGTATCATGGACATAGAGTTGTTTAGGGTTTTTAGCTTTTTGTTTGTTTTAAGGCAAATTAAAGCACCAACCATAGCTTTCCTAATCCCTCACAAATACTAATGTGCAACATTGTTGCTTTTTAGTCTTTAAATCTTTTCTCCACTCAAGTAATTTAGAAATGAGTGAATTTCCATTAATGTCTTCAATCATCTATTGTTCATACCCATTTTTGAAAGGTCTGGGACCTGCAAGCACAAATGATTATTTCATTCAAAATCAGCAGAGTAGATGACTGCATGCTTTGTGAGGTTGCTTTGTATGGTGGTCTGCTTGGTGCTAGAAGAAAAAAAATAATTGCTTCCTGCAGACTGGTGATTTTTTGCTGTGGCACCAAGTCACGCCTGTTTCTGAAAAAGGACTTGTAACTTAGCTGCTTCAGAGTTATGTCTTTATTTTAGTTTTTATCCAACTGGTCTTGAAATAATAAAGAGAGTGCTTGGGTTCATGAGGCATTTGTTGTAAATGTTCAGTATATTTATTTTGAAAGAGCTGACCTTGAGACTGTAAACCAGTGTAGTACCGTATCTAAGTGTTGTGGAAGCGCTTTAGTCTATTTAAAAAGAAAAGCATCATGTTTGGCTGCTGCTCTTTCTTTCTACAGTTTTTCTTAATTTTAGGCTGTATGGTCATTTCCAGTAGCAGCATGTCAGACTGCCTGCAATATTAGCTGAAAAGTTGAGTAGACCTCTCTAAGTAGTTGGCAATTTCTGTGTACTAAATATTTAGGGGCCATGGAAGTTGCTAAGAGCAACATACTAATCTGGCAGAACAGATGCCAATGAAAACAACATACAGGGTGACTTTTTACTAAGTCAGTAAAACGCCTTTAGCTCAGGTTCCAAAGCATGTTTCTTTCACATGTTGTGAAATTGTATTTTAATATTGCACTGTTTTCAGATTATCTCTGTAAATGGTCCCTTTTTTCCTCCTTGATGATGGTTTGAGAGAAGTCAATGATTTGAGTCCTGGTTGAGTTAAATTTTTATGGGGAAAAAAAAAAAGACAAAACCAAACATCCAAACAAATAAGTCATAACTGAGCCTAGTCAGATCCATTTTTATATGTAAACACACATGAGTTCATAACTATAGATTGCTGTCATAAATTACTCTTTATGCTTTTTCCATCCTTCCCCTGATTTCACATTGCAACAGATGTCAGGTTTATTTAAACATAAGTGCAGTTCACAAACAAGACACAAAATATAGGGCCATGGGGATAGTTTGCCTTCCCTAAGTTGTATTTCAGTGGTAGGTGTCAATTATCTGGTTGAATAGGTTGGATAGTCTTCACTGATAAAGGTACTGATTCATGACAACAGAATATCAAGATGTTCAACTGGTTGCATAAAAACATGGCAGTGCAGTGATTTATTATTATTTTTTTTAGGGGTCAGCATTTCCAATGCCACTTTATCAATGAGATACTATGATTACAAAATTATTTGAACTTTGTCATTGGTAATAGCGGCTTAAATTTGCTTGCCAAATCTATCTTGCACTTGTCAAAATGTTTTCAGCTCAATAGCCAGGAAAAAAAAATGACATATTTTTATAACAGACATACTTTTTTTGTACATTGTGTTCATTCTTGAATAAAGTAAGTTCAGTGTTGGCTTGTAGATATTAAAAGGAAAGTATTGACTTTGATTCAATAAATGTTTTCTTTCAGTTGGTGGCCTACCCTTTTTCTTTTTCATAAGTTATGTTTGCATTAGAAAAACACTTGCAGCCTGTGGACAAATTTGTGGTGAAAATTCTCTGAAGAGTAACCTATTAGTTACAATAAGTAATTTGCAAGCTTGAGTTCTTTTCATGCTACTTGACCCTTTTGTTGCCAAATGGATTAAACTGTAATTTTATTGGCACTTTTGTTGCATTGACTTAGTGTGTATTCTAGGGGCTTCTGCAAGGATCTTCAAGGGAAGATTTCTTTAAAAATATTGGAATCCTTCATAAACAGGATTTCTTTCCTTTTGACTGCAACTGGTATGTGTGTTACTTTCTTGATTGTGATGCAGATTACTGTGGTAACCAGTAGAAGACTTAACTGTACAGCTAATCATCGTAATATGCACATCTGCATTAAATGTACCTGCGAGGCACAATATTGTCTACACTCTATTTGGCTCAATTTTTATATTTGACACATTTAGAGTTAATTCCTTAAACACTAATTTACTAGTTTAAACTTCATGCTAAATTGTTTTAAAAACTTATAATTAATTCTTTAGCTCATGGGAAATTCTTTAAATTACCAGTTGAGGAAAAAAGATAGTTCTAAAGGGAAAGAAGGATCAAGATAAAGCCATTAGATATCAGGCAACTAGAGGGTTCTTAACTGTTGAGGTTATAGAAGTTTAGTACTGTCTACAAAGGTGTGTTTTGAAGAGCAGATGTTTTTTATAACCATCTATAAAAATAAAGGTTTAAAGAGTTTAAACTCAGGCAGCTAAGCAGACTGAAAATTAAAGCGGTTATATGAGCCAATTCATCCCCGTTGTGCCTTTTTAAATTTTTAAGTGAGAAGGTGCTGCATTAGGAACCAAGCCTCTGAACATAGTCTTGGTCCCAAGTAGTGCTGTACTCTGCCATGATTTGAGACACCATAAAAACCCCAGAAAGTTCCCTTCCTAGAGAATGGAAAGTGATTTTTGAGCTTCATAAGGATTCTATAGATCTTCAGCACTTTATTGTATCTCCTGATCTCCATCTTCTATGAAGATCTCTATGCATACCTCTCAGAAGATCTCATGAATTGGTTGTACTTCCTGTCTTTATAGACCTTAAAAAAAAAAAAAAAAAAAGTACTATGCCCCCTTGTGAAAATAGTAGGAAGCAGTATAGGGTTTATTAGTTTTTATATTTGTGAAAACAGTTTAATGGAAGAAGTCTGGGTAGTACACATTCCCACAGATCAAATTTTTTTTATTAGGATTTCACGCTGATTGTGGTCCTGGATTTTGCTGTTTGGGAATATTGCATTTATTTGAATTTCAACAGTAAAATTCCCATTCCTTATTCCATATCCCTTTTTCTATGATCACAACTAATCACAGAAGACTATGCACAATTATGTGTATTATTATATTATGTACTATTTACCCTTTAATGTTTTCTTATTCTTTAAAAGCAGTTAATAACATGATAGAATGATGAAATCTGGACTAAATTGCAAATTTATTGGTATAGTGCAATTCCACGAGCACAAACAGTTACATCAGGACACAAAACACTTTCAGAGTAAAAGATGTTACAGGCTCAGTATTTAGGATGGGAGTTTGAGGCTGCTTTTATATTAAGTCTATGAACTTTGCTTCATGCCATGAATACAGTGCAAGTAAATGGGTTTTCTTCTTCTTTTCAGAAGAGCACATGCAATTTTTCTCTATTACATAAACTTTTTAAATACACTCACCAAAATACCATTTGAATATCTGCCAATACTGCATAAGGTAGGACATCTACCAAGAGTGAGAAGGATGTTTTACTGCCTTTTGTCTGATTATGTGTTTGGTTTCTTTTCAAGGAATCTAGCTATACATTCACAGTGATGATTCAAGAAATATGGCTTGCAGCCATATCTGGTTGCAGCCATGGGCTATGACTTCCCTGTAAAACTATTCTGCTAACAGTAGGAAGATGTAAAAATGATGATCAGCACAGCACTACATTGTTTCTAAAGAATTTCAGCTGCCTGAGACGGATGGCACATGCAGTCTGTGCCACTGGGAAGCTACGAGATACTGAGTGAGGGAATAGCCAAGCAGTAAGCAAGACGCCCCATAATGAGACATAATGAAAATTTAACCATTTCCTGCTGGCAAAAATCTATGCATCGAAGTAGCAATAGGTAAACTTTAGAAGGTTCTTTCAGTGTTTGCTTTTAGGTGATTAGGAGCAATGTCTGTGCATAGATGCAATAAGCCCGCATAACTGGAAGTTATTGTGAACTTCAGCAAATAACACTCTCCGAGTGTAAGCCATATTTCTTGAATCATCACTGTGAATGTATAGCTAGATTCCTTGAAAAGAAACCAAACACATAATCAGACAAAAGGCAGTAAAACATCCTTCTCGCTCTTGGTAGATGTCCTACCTTATGCAGTATTGGCAGATATTCAAATGGTATTTTGGTGAGTGTATTTAAAAAGTTTATGTAATAGAGAAAAATTGCATGTGCTCTTCTGAAAAGAAGAAGAAAACCCACTTACTTGCACTGTAGTCATGGCATGAAGCAAAGTGGTCATACATGTGCACCTCATCACTTAATATTATTAAATCAGCTATAATTTTTTTTTTTAATGTGCACTACTCAATAAATAAATTGCCAAATATTTAACTGTATTTAGCATCCCAAATTATAATGATGTAGTCCTGACTATAGATCCATATACAGTGACTGTGACATTAAAGCTTATTGAAAATTACATCCTAGCTCTGCCAATAATTAGTAGAAGGACTTCAAAGGCATACCAGTAAAACTATTGGGACTGGTCTCATCTACTTACTGTCACAGGCCATGCTAGCGCTGACACTGATTAGCTGCTCAGCTGACTGTATTGGGTACTGATCTATAGTAAAAAATTGAGGGTTTTGGCCAAATTGGTTAGTTTTAACCTGGAGCAGTTTCTGAATGCTTATCCAGAGTAAGAATGGGTGTGAGTGGCATGGGATCAGAAGTTATCTGTTATGGGGAACATTCATAGCTTAGCCTGACTGTGGAGAAGCATTGAGCTTTCTAAATTTAAAAAAAACCCAACACAAACAAATGAAACACCAACAAACCAAAAACAAAACCAAAACAAACAAACAACACAGAAAGAAAAGCCTAGTGACAAAGCTTAGCTGCAGCTAGGGCTGTGAATATATCTACTTAAAAGCTACTTCTGCTTTTTGGGAGCTCTATTTCTATGTATTGGGATCACCAGCTTTTCACATGTTATTCTGTTTGGTTTGGGAGCACAGACCGTGTTGAACACATTGTCAAATGGTAAACTGCATCTTCACCAAGAGTCAGACAACCTCAGGCAATATCATATAATGGTAAGAGTTGGAAGAGACCTTAAAGATCATCTAGTTAACCCCCTCTACCAAGGGCAGGGACACCTTCTGCTAGACCAGGTTGCTCAAAGCCCCATCCAACCTGGCCTGGAACACCTCTAGGGATGGGGTATTCACATCTTCTCTGGGCAACCTGCTCCAGTCTCACCACCCTCGCCATAAAGAATTTCTTCCTAACACTTAACCTAAATCTACCCTCTTTCAGTTTAAAACCATTACCCCTCGTCTTATCACTACACTTGCTGATAAAGAGTCCCTCCCAATCTTTCCTGTAGGCCCCCTTAAGTACTGGAAGGCTGCTCTAAGGTGTCCCTGGAGCCTTGTCTTCTCCAGGCTGCACAACCCCAATGCTCTCAGTCTGTCTTCATAGGAGAAGCGCTCCAGCCCTCTGCTCATATTCATGGCCCTCCTCTGGACTCATTCCAACAGGTCCATGTCCTTATGTTGGGGGCTGCAGATCTGGACGCAGTACTCCAGCTGTGGTCTCATGAGAGCGGGACAGAGGGGGAGAATCACCTCTCTCAATCTCCCAGCCATGCTGTTTT